TCTATAGAATCGAATCAATTCAATCTGTGTTTCAGTGTGTGTGGGGGGGGGCGAGGTGGATGGGTGTGGGTGGGTGGGTGTGTATGAGTGTGTGCGTGTGCGTGGTGCGCGTGGATTTTGGAATGAATTCGACCACCTTTGACCGCCGAATGTAGCCTTGAAAGGTGGCCAGATACGTTCGGAAATGGTCTCTCTCTCTCTCTCTCTCTTGCACGTACTTTTTTTAATGAATTCGACCACCTTTTGGCACCGAATGTAGCGCCGAAAGGTGGCCAGATAGGGGTATTCACCCTTGCAGATGTAAGTTTTTTTTCATTTTTTTTCCTTTCGTTTTCTCTGTTTGTTTTTTCGTATAGGGATGGGGTGTTGCCCGCGCCCCTTCCCCACGTCCCATAACCCCTCTGTGCTGACCCCCTCTCCCCCCGATGCATTTGCGCCCAGCCGCAAACACGTCAAACACATTTACCCGCGTTCAACGCGTTCAAGAACTGAATGCGGAACCCGCATTTATTGAACGCGTGGCTACACAGGGTGAAAATATTATGATTTTATAGGAAAGGTTCAATACTTGGTCCAAAGCACTTGACTACGAGTTAGTCATCCAACTCATTTTAATTTGGTCCAATACAACTCACATTAATATAGAAGTTTTATGATTGAACATGCCATCATTATCCTTCACTTTCCGTTCTTCTTCCCGTTGTCACTCTCATCTCCCTCTTCATTATAGGGTTGAGGTCCAATATACTCGAAGGCTTCGTGTCTGACCAAACATCACGAAATTATTAACAAAAAATCATTATGAATCCGTATAAGTGAGACCTCACCCCAAATCTAATATGCCTTTGCAATGAAGGAGATCATTTTTTTTTTCCAAATTAAAATACTGTGATGGGCAAGCGCATGCTTCGTACAACATGTTATACCATTGTTGGCCCAGTCGAAATCATAGTGGTTATGGTCAAGGATTTTGAACAGAAATTCAACATTTAGGAACAAAATGAAAGTTTTATTCCCGACGGGAATGTTTCGTGCAAACGAAACGTTATTATCGTTACATCTCATAATTAAAAAATTGACACATTGCCTTTTTCAACAAAATACTGCCGCGTTTTTTATTTCCAACTATTTTTTAACAAATGTTTTCATTTTGATCTTATTAACTATCCTACTTTCCTGACGTATGCATATAGGAATAAAGGAAATTCTAATAAACTATGGTCACTATGAAGTAATGAGAAAACTTGATGTTGCTTTTGTTATAGTGTTTGTTTTGATAGTCCTTAAATATGCATTTGTATTTTTTATTTTGGTGTTGTTTATTATCCTTTAATAAATCAAATCAATTCCCTGACAGATCTTGGTGACCCTTCCCTTCCATCCTTCACTAGGGGTTAGGCCTAGATAGAGAAAGAAGGAAAAAATGGTTGTCCAATTATTCCAAAACATTCATGCGAGGTAGTATGACGTATATTGAGAGAAGAGTATAACTTAGTTTTTATGAGAAAAAAAAAGTGTCTGAACGATCCATGAGGCCCATGCGAGGTAGTATGAGGTATATTGAGAGAAGAGTATAACTTAGTTTTTATGAGAAAAAAAAAGTTGTTGAAGGATCCATGTGGGCCTCAATGCCGCGGCTATGGAGGAACAAGGGACCCACACAAACAACTACGCCACTGAGGTGGTTTGAGGTGTGGAGCAACATCTATTTAGAAACCCACAAATCGCGGATGAAAGAGGGAAAGTGTTAGACTTGCACCCGAACTCTCCCTGGCTAACGTGGGTGAGGAAAGGGTGCTACACAGTCGAAGATCTCTGCGACCCTATAACACGTAGGCGGAAATCTAATTCCAAACTGAAATCGCAGCTCAAGAATATTAAGAACATGGAATAAAAGAGGGCCCAATTAATTGAAGTCATCCCTCTAGGATGGAGCCTCGCCCTCACAAAGGGTCCAACGGTGGAAGTGGGGAACTTGGTTGTTCAGTTCAAAACCCTTCCCCTGCCCACAACTGTGTACCAAGTTGTAGTAGCCTTCCCAACAATAACGAAGCTCGAGGCATATGAGTTGCATCTGCCACGGGAAAAACAATCCCAACTAAGCAGGCAAGAAGATAGGGAATGTGAGTTGCCACCCTGCCAACTCATGAGGGTGAGAGTGCCAGAGAACAGTCAAAAATAAAAATGGGCATATGAGCCTAACAACCCCATCAACATGTTGCCCTTTGACATAGGAGAATGGGAATGGAAAACATGAAAGTCGACTCCCATATTAGAATACACAGTCAAGGAGGGATATAAAATCATACATACCCCTCCCCCCGTGGTGATGTGAAGGGTTGGGAAACACTTGCAGCCCCATGGGATCATAAAAGGTGCTCCAAGATAAGAAGAGTAACAGATATACAGCCCTGGGAACCAAAGGATAGGAACGCATTGTATTTGAACAGATGTACTCATGGAACGCTGGACCTAGTTTCCAGCAGGTGCCGCTCCCCACCCATTGATGCGGCAGCCTATCAGCCAAGCCCTCAATCCTGGTGGTTCTCTCACCACCACCGGGATAGACGGCTGGCAAAGGGGTTATTAAAAAAAAAAAAAAAAAAGATGGGCAGAAAACTCTCCCCTGAGCCGATAGGATCTGCACGATCTGTCATGGACCCCATATTCGAAGATCATGCTAACGGCCCACCGGGCACTCCAATGGCAGATTCTCCACAGATGCCTTCACACCCCTGACTGGATAGTCTCACGCACGAACCTGGAACAACAAGGCATTTTCTCCCCAGTCTGCACGTATTGTGGAAAGGACTCGCAACCAGTGAGAGCAACTCTAGAGCACTGCCTGTTAGCTTGCCCGATGGTGGCATAATTGCGAAGATGATGGGACTCGGTGTGACACTACCTGGTCGAGGAACACTTCCCTGAAACTTATTACTCACTCTCCTAGGCGACCACATTCCTTAGTCTCGGCAAGGTGATACCCTTGCAATGAATCTCTTCTCCTATATGAGATTGACGTTGCTAATGCTGGCTTGGAGAATGTGGTGCTCCCATGAAAGGGACAAGTGCTTCTTCGGCTTCCTACAAGCAAGGGAGGTTGTGATGCACAAACCTCACACCCCGTGCGGCGTTTCGTACCGAGGGCCGCCCAATCAGAGTAATTGGGGGCGTGGCCGATGATTTTAGACAAGGGTTGAACCACCCGGACGGAACGGGGGATTCTCACTTCATTCCAAGGCTATTCCAAAATTAAGGTTGACAAAGGGGCTCAAAAGGGAACACAAGAGAATCCGAAGGGTAAACAAGGCCGACGTGTGGGGTATAACCAAAATTCCTCTCCGCCGTGGGCTAAGGAGCGACGCGCGGCTGGGCTGTCAGCTGGCAACAGGAAAAAGCAAAAAGGAAGACTCGGAATCTACCTCTTCTCTCGCGCCAGGTTCACGCCAACTCTACTGCAAGAACCCAAGAGATAAGGAGCATCTAGGCTTCCGAGTCGGATTCATTAAGTCCGCGGGGTCGACTAGGAGCGTCGTTGTCTGATTTGGGCGGGCCTAGGGAAACCCAGTTTCAGAAGCCGCAGGTAGGGCGCCCGCACTGTGGGAGAGTTTTGGGAACCGAGTCGAACCTTCGTACCCTAACACCAGCCTTCAGAAGGAATACGAGTCTCCTTGCCGACACCAACGACAGTTAAACGGAGCCCGCCACATGGCATGGGCCGCCGACCAAGGCAACACCGTCAAATCAGTGTAAGGCAAGATCAAGGGCGGGGAGGAAAACCAATCAATCAGAACAAACCTACTTCCCCCTACGTGGCAAACCTTGGACGGGTTGTATAAATAAACCCCGTCGGTCCGCAACAACGTGCTCCACACATCCGCATCGTAGTACACACTGTCTTCGTCTGCGATCGGGAAGGGGGAAAGGGTGTTGTGGCGGATCGACGAGAGGGTTGAGCACGGGCAGTTACCCACGGTCACGTTTAATGTAGTACATCTCGACTCTATACAAATCTCAATGAGCCTCGCCCCACTCCTCCTACTTAATCAAAATGCAAGTTCAAGAACACAACGTCGTTTGTCACAAAATCGTTATCAGGACAAAATGACTATGGCTGGGTAGCAACTAGATCGGGCGACGCGCAAAGATGCACACGACTGGTGTCTCTGGCTGCCGGTGACCAGCCTGATGGAACACATAACAAACCGACACGTGGCACTTGGGCGCAAGAGGGGAGAGAGGAAAAAAATAGCGACGATTCTTTGTGCATACGTGTAGTGCAGGGAATCGGCAAGGGTCGGGGAAAATAAGGGGAAATCAAGAGAGATGGTTAATGGAAGATAAAAAATTTGGTGTTTTTCGGCGCACCACCACAAACAATGTCGAAACTTAATACAAATATACCCTAAAGCACATACGTATCACACAAAAAAACAAAACAAAATAAACACCAATTTGGGGAAGTATGGCTGTTTTGGTGAAAAGATCGCAGAAAATGACACCACCTATTAACCATATGTGGAAATCAATACACTTATGCATACAGACAGACATTTGATACCCCAACACTCCCCAAGGTCGCGCCCACGTGCGCCTTACTCCTAGGACATCATGCCACATCATCCATACATCTTCAAGTTGGACAGCGAAACATTCAAGATCCACAAACACTCATAACCAACATCATGCCTGCGACTGAGTATCCACACTTAGTTTACTGCACACACAACACTTGGACAAAGCAGCAATGGAGAAAAGAGCGAGTCCCCGCTATTCAAAATTACACAAAGCCGGCCTTCTTCAGGCGTGCTCACCAACCAACCCAAATGTCAACCAATCATTCCCACAAGGCCCTGCCGCTGGCTACGTTCTATCTCCACCACTGCTTAGTCCCTCTGACTGCCTTAACCCCCAGGTCTACCGCAGAGGTCGCAAAACCATTTATTTTCCTAACCATATCTGACCCAGCCCAAGCCTTGATGTATCATATCTAGCCGGACCCACGTAAACACAATTTGTTTTACCCAGACCCAACCCACCCTTGCTCTGTCTCTTATACACATCTAGATGTGTATAAGAGACAGCCCCTGTAGGGTGGCAGGTGTTTCAATAGGCGACAACCTTTGCTTGTTTTCTGCTCGAGAAGTAGTTCCTTTTGCTGATGACGTCATCATCCATACGCTTATCCCCTCCTCCTCATCGGAAATGTCTCCTGTCCCAGGTACTGGTGCGGGGGCGATTTCGTTCTTCTTCGATATCTCTCTCCTTCTCCCACGCGTGAAGGGCGTTTCGATAAGCCACCAACTTCTTGTTTTCCTCAAGAATACTCTGGAGGTACTCCCGCTTCTCGCGCTGTCTCCTCTCCTCCAGATCCTCCCAGTAGGCGTGAGAGAAGCTCGATCCCGGCCTGCATTGGGTCGCCACCACCTGTTGCTCAAGCTTTCGACGGAGGTCTTCTTCCCTCAACCTCAGGTGTTCCTCCATAGCCAACCTCACCTCCTCCTGCCTCCTCAGCTTCTCCTCCTTCTCCGGACACAGCGAGATCCGCGTCTCCTCCTCGTGCTTCTTCCATCTCTCCGCCTTCGCCTTCCATAGTGACAGCTCCCTCGCATACTCCGAGTCCAAGTTGCAGATGTTCGTCTTCGATGCCGGCTTCTTCTGCCTCAGAAGAATACTCTGCCGATGGATCGTCTGTGGTGACGTCATCGTTTTCCCCTACTGATGCTCTCCTCCTTCTTCTTCTTCTTCTTCTTCTTCTTCTTCTTCTGCTGCTGCTGCTGCTGCTGCTGCTGCTGCTGCTGTGCTGCTTCTCCCTTAGTCTATACGAGGGGATTATCACTTTGGATAAGCTCGATGAGGTCACACACAGAGAGAGAGAGAGAGAGAGAGAGAGAGAGAGAGAGAGATCACTTTGGATAAGCTCGATGAGGTCACACACACACACACACACACACACACACACACACACACACACAGAGAGAGAGAGAGAGAGGGGGGGGGGGGGGGGGGGGGGTTCAAATTGATGAATGTGACTTACGAAAACGTTTGACTAATCTATACGACGGGATTATCAATTTGGATGAGGTGGATAAGGTGATAAGTGGCGTCTCCTCCTCCTCCTCCTAGTCTGTACGAGGGGATTACCACCTTGAATAAGGCGGATATGGTGACAGAGAGAAACAAAGAGGGAGGGACGGAGGGAGGGAGGGAGGGAGGGAGGGAGTATGGGAGGGATAAGATGAGAAGTGGCGTCTCCTCCTCGTCCTAGTCTCTAAGAGGGGATTATCACCTTGAATAAGGGGGATATGGTGACAGAGAGAGACAGAGAGGGAGGGATGGAGGGAGGGAGGGAGGGAGGATGGGAGGGAGGGAGGGAGGAGGGAGGGAGGTTCAAATTGATGTATGTGACTTACGAAAACGTTTGACTATTGACTTGTTGACAAACGTTACTAACGGACGGACCGAGAAAGTGAAGACGATCTATGACTTGATCATGATGATGACAAGGATCACCAGACTGACGCTTTCAGCCGCACGATGACACGTGTCGTTAGATTAACGTTTTGCAGCAGTGGGATCTCAACGGGTTGGGCCAGGTGGCATGTGATGATATCTTCCAGATATGCACTGTAGTATATGAGGGCATACTCACACTACAACTCTCCGAAATGCATCTGGCCGCAATTACGGCGAAACGTGGATGAATGGAGGGGTTGTCGGAGTCCCGACCCTCGGTATGACAAAGCGGCTTCTTCCCGCCTCTGCGAGCGCACGTTCGCGCCCCTGGGGCCTCCGAACGGGCGGGTTGGAGCGGGGGCGGGCGGGTTGGAGCGCGCAAGACCCCCGCAGTCATGCCCTGCTTCGGCGGGGGCATGAGGACGAGGGCGCGTCGCGCACGTGCGGCTCGTGTGACTCGTTTCAAGGCATAGGACTTTTCCCGCAAAGCTCTGGACGTGATTGCGGTCAGATTCGTCCACGCGTGGCCGTAATTGCCGTCAGATGCATTTTCGAAATTGGTAGTGTGAATATGCCCTCACACGGGACCTTTCGTCGCAAAAAATCCGCGACTTTTGGTCGCCCCCTTGGAGATTTTGGCGCAGGCGGCAAGTCACGCAAAACCGCCTCGCGCCAAGGGCCTCGTTCCACTACACTTCACTCGAGAGAAATCGCAGGGGGGGGGTCTGGAGTAGGCCCTTGAGGTTCACTAATCACGACCGGGGGCCTCGGCCCACTACACAGCGTTGCCTTTAGTTGCAACAGCTTTGTGACTCCTAAGAGTCGTGGATTGTGAAAAAAAACAGCGGTCGTCGGGCGCGGAGATGGCAGCTTTGGAGCCCAAACCGGACGTTTTCATTGGCAAAAATCATGTCAGAGCAGCACACGGCGAGGCCCGCGGCGTTTAGTTTACTATCGTCAAAAATGTGTCATAGCTAACTAAACGCCCTAATTCCTCTTCGGTCGAATTTGCGGGCAGAATAGGCCTTCGCATGAAGGCTTTTCGTTTATTTGTGGTGGGTTCTTGTGTGTGGGCCGTTCTTGTGTGTCATAGCTTTGGAGCACTGACTTCGGGTAACACGTGAAGAGGCAGGGGTATTTACGCAACTCGACAGATGTAGCAATTCAAAGACCCGTCATGGTGGTTGATGGCCCTCCTGCTGTGCCCACTGGACGGCGTCAAAAGCCTCCCAGTCATTGGCAGACAAGATTTTCCCGCCTGCCGTGGTGTCGCTCGGTATCATTTTCTGCTACTAAACCTTGCATGTGGGCCGAGGCCCACATGCAAGGTTTAGTAGCAGAAAATGATACTGGGTGACACCACGGCAAGCGGGAAAATCTTGTCTGCGCCGAGACAGCGCGGGTCCACTTTTTTTTCGCCTTCACACAAATGACTGGGAGGCTTTTGACGCCGTCCGATGGGCACAGCAGGAGGGCCATCAACCAGCATGACGGGTCTTCGAATTCGTACGTCTGTTGAGTTGCGTAAATACCCCTGCCCCTTCACGTCTTACAGGAAGTCAGTGGCCCACACGTGGCCTGTATTGTTAAAGAAGCGCATTTGTGAGGACTACAGGCGAAATGGCGACGCCCCACATAGCCCCCCCCTTCATGCGAACCACGGCCGTTGGCTGCAGGGCTCTCATCGACGGCCCACATCTTGTCTGCATTATGTCGTCGGCGGGAATATACACTCAAGAGCCCTCCACACTCGCGGGAAAAGCCTTCATGCGAAGGCCTATTCTGCCCACAAATCCTACCGATGAGGAATTAGGGCGTTTAGTTAGCTATGACGTTTTTTTGGCGATAGTAAACTAAACGCCCCGCCCTCGCCCGTGTGTTCCCCCGACATGCATTTTGCCAATGAAAACGCCCCATTTGGGCGCCAAAACTGCCAACTCCGCGCGCTGGACTCACACACACCGGATTTTATATGAATCCACGACTCCCTGGAGTCGCGCAGCTGTTGCAACTAAACGCGACGGTGGCATGTGGGCCAAGGCCCCGGCGATACATGCAAGGTTTAGTAGCAGAAAATGATACCGAGCGACACCACGGCAGGCGGGAAAATCTTGTCTGGACGGGTCCACTTTTTTTTTCGTACACACCACTGACTGGGACACTTTTGACACCGTCCGATCGGCACAGCAGGAGGGCCATCAACCACCATGACGGGTCTTCGAATTGCTGCATCTGTCGAGTTGCATAAATACCCCTGCCTTCGTCACGTGTGTTACCGGAAGTGAGTGCTTCACGTGCTCCGCCTGCTTCGCACATTTGTTGCCCATGCGAAGGCCTATTCTGCCCGCCAACAGACGACCGATGAGGAATTAGGGCGTTTGGTTAGCTATGACACTTTTTTGACGATAGTAAACAAAACGTCCCGCGCCTCGCCGTGTGCTGCGCCGACATGCTTTTTGCCAATGAACACCTCCCGTTTGGGCGGGAAAGCTGCCATCTCCGCGCGCTGGACTAACGACCGCTGGATGTTTTTACAATCCACGACTCGTCGTCGTCGCAAAGTCGTCGCACCTAAATGCAACGCTGTGTAGTGGGTCGAGGCCCCAGGCCCAAGTCCCACTGGACGGTGTTCTTCATTTCTGGCCATGGATCTGCGTATTCCCGCCACAATCGGTGGTCAAGAATGAAGAACACATGGCAGTGGGACCTAGCCCCCAAAGATTTTCAACTTTCCCACCTGAATTAAATCCCGCTCTGAAAGTGGAGTTTGCAGCCCGTCAGGGTTGCGTTTTATGCCCAGCAATTTTGCCAAAATGCGCCCCGTAATGCGTGGGCCAAGCGGGGAAGGGCTGCCGTCGATAAATCGAATCCGCGGCCTGTTTTTCATTTCGGCCTTCCGAAACTGCCCGCGGACGACATATGGTAAAGGTACTGCTGGTTTGAGACCTTCAACGTCAATTCAACTTTCAACGTCAATGGTCGTTCGGGAGGGTAGCCAATTTTGAGGTGAGGGCTTAGCAAGGGGCAGGGCATGCGAAGGACCGGTAGCTGCCCGTAGGAGGCAGAGGAGGCCGCGGTCCTTGAGTTGAACATTTCAAAATCAAAACTGGTGGGATGCCGAGGAGGCCGCAGTCCTTGAGTTTTAAACCACCAGTACCTCGCCCAGCTATAAACAAAAGTCGCGGCCGTATACGTGCCGCAACTTTCGGGGGACGGCCGCTCCAATGCCCAGTTCGTGCCATTCCCCCCCCGAAAAAAAAAATCGCAAAAATTGAAAAAAAAAACTCTTTCTTCTACCAACCCCCCCCCCAAAAAAAAGGAAACAACATCGACACGCCGGGGGCAGGCGGGGAGAGACAGAGAGAGAGAGAGTCGGCGCCA